CTCAGGGAGTAGGGAGCAATGAACACTGTGTAGGGATCATATCGAACGCAACACAGTTCATCCACGCAGCTCGCTTCTAACGAGCTGGCGCGAGGACTGGATTAACCGCTGGGCTACATCATGTGTCATTCACCTGTGAGAAATCTTTAAAAGTACTACAATACCAGGAAGGAAGATCGGGTTGTTGATGTTTGCCTGCCATTCGCGCTCTGTCTGCACAGCGTGCGTGAACGAGCTGATGACATATCCTGTCTGCGCGAACAGGGTGCGCAGAGGTATGCTAATACATACGTTGACAGGCAGGTAGGAAAGCATATTAAAACGCTCGGACCGAGCGTTTTGATTGGACAAACATTTCTTGATCCTAGGCCTTCCACAGAATATATAAATACAGACAAATACATTTAGACCACTTAACTTAATGATTCACTGGGGAATTTGTAGGCCGGATGGACTGGATTTGTCCAGGGCCGAATTTTAACCTCAGTCCAGCCCTGCCATTGTGCATTTGACACAACTTGCATGCACTGGGTGTGTTGATAAGTCAAGTCAAGTCAAGTCAAGTTTATTTGTACAGCGCTTTTCACGATACAAATCATTGCAAAGCAACTTTACAGCAAATTAAGTTTCTACAATATTTAGTGGAAGCTGATCAGTGGTGACTGTCAATTAATGTACATATGGCAGAAATGTACGGAAAAATCAATTTAAGACGTAATAAAAAAGACGATGAACACTATTAACAGCAATTATTATATATAGTGGAAAACTATATATAAGGAAAACAGTAGAGGATGTTCCTTTTTGAATTCTGTTTCCTGAGATCAACAACTTCCTGTTTCTGTTTAGCCTCTAATAACACACAATAAGGTTTTAAATAGAGTTCACTGTGGAACAGGCAATAAGAATTTTCGTGTAGCAGTACACTATACTAATATTTGTATGTCACAAGTCACAGTATACATAAACATAAAATCTGAGTAAACAAAACAGATACTTATTTATATGCACTTATTTAACATATTAATGTAACATACAGGACTGCAATGAAATGAACAGATGTCAATCAAATCCTGCATTTCTCAGATCTCAAGATCAACCACAAGAAAAATGTTCAACTTACACATTAAAAAGGGGGGGAAAAGTAATATTTCACGATGCTGTTTGTTTAGTATACAAAAACGCACCCTTTCATGAGAGCAGATATGCGTACAAAAGCGTTAAAGTTTGTAAACAATGTCAGGGTTCACAGGGTTTTTGCGTTCAGTTGCTATGATTTTATTTATACTTTTTTTTTTTGTGCGTATTTCACGAAATTCTATCCAAAACTTCTGCCAAATGTATCCACCGAATTAATCCCCCAATACCCACACTTGCAGTCTTTGCACTTGAGCACTTGTCTACTTGCATGAAGTATTTCCTCTATTTGACCCAAGTGTTAAAGTAGGCGTGCAGACCTCAAGACTTTATATAACTTTTACCCAATGCACCGTTTCACAAAGTGTTATGTTGGTTTTTAATACTTTGCCCTTTATAAACTTCTAAATGTCTGTCCGGTTGTTCCTATGAAACAGAAAGCAATTTAATTGTGGTTTTCCTAATTATGTGATAAAAAGCAGCAAAGATAAAAATCAGTTTACAAAATACATTCTTTACTACTAAATTATATTTACTAGTTTAACTTATACTGTAATGTTTTTCTCTGCAATTTGCAATTGCATGCGAGTTCCTGAATATGATGAATGATGGGATACACGAAAATTGCTCTGAAGTGGTATTACAGAAAGTGTGGATTTAGTGTATGTTAAGGGCTATGAGCTTTGGCATTTTTTTGACCTGGGACCGTCTTGAGAAATTACTTCCTGTCGCGTACACATTCTCAAGAAGCCAAGACCACTAGTGTCGGTATTACGACATGCACTTTATTTTTTCTCTTTAGTCCATTTGGTTGCATAAGCCATTGTTGACAGATGAAGAAAAAAAAATGCATTCAACAAAAATACTCAAAAACAGTTGAAAGTTCACCGTATCATGCTCTCAGCTTCCCATATATGGACTGCTCGCGGTGAACGTGCAACATGATTGAGAGGCAGAAAGTGCTTCAAACACCTTATTCAAGAATCACTTCTTATTTTACAGTTTAAATAGACTAGGTCAGTGTTTCTCAACCCTGGTCCTGAGCGCCCCCCAACACTGCACATTTTATATGTCTCCCTTATCTGACACCCATTTCAGGTCCTGGAGTTTCTTTTAATGAGCTAATGAGTTGAATCAGGTGTGTTTGATTAGGGAGACACACAAAATATGCAGTGCTGGGGGGCGCCCAGGACCAGGGTTGAGAAACACTGGACTAGGTCTATCACAGGGAGTTATTTCAATGAAATCTTTAAAACAGTCTAAAAACGGTTTTATCCATTAGTTAGAAGTCCATGTAAAATTTAGGAACAAATAAATCAAAGTACTGATAAAATGCATTTGCTTATAAACACAATGTTAATGCATTTGTTAGTTTCTAAAGGTTTTTTCATATAAATAATTTGTTATACGTATATTTTGCAAAGGCGATACAGCGATAGGAGTCAGAAAGCAAAAGCAAATACATTTGTAAAGACTTTGATCAGTAGACCTACAGGTCTGAAATACATTCCTATTTATGCAACAGTCATTTCAATCAGTAAACATGGGACACAATTGATTCTTTTTCGTTTGAGTGGTTTGTGTTCACATCTCACAGCACACAAATGAGACTCCGTCCCTCTTCAATCTCATCCTGCACCTTGTCGCTGGAGGTGGCGATCTCAGCCTGGGCGGAAAACATGGCACAAATGAAAGTGAGAACAGTGCCTCCTATGGCTGTGTAGAAAGCCCAGCCCAGAGAACACAGGCCCACTTTATATGGGGAAGCATCCGGACCGCAGTAGTCAACCACCTTCTTAGAGCCCCAGCCTGCAGGATAGAGCATCAGACCTAAGATGAGGAATAGACCTGCAAAAGAGAAAACGGAAATGTTACAAATTACAGTTGCTAAGGTGTTCTGGGTGATTGCGAGGTGGATGGTGTGGGACAAGTTAATGAATATAAATGAACATAACATAACTAGCTGAAACAAATCAGAAACACATTTTAAAGAAGGATGGATTTAGTCATTCATCCCACTCTTAAGGTCCATTCACACTAGGAACAATAACTATAACGACAACTATACCGATAATAACCATATTAGTGTCCACAGTCTGTTTATTAGAAGTATTCGCTGCATTTCTGTCGCCTGCTTCTTTAAAAGCTTGAACAATTTACAGATTGGGTGGATTCTGATTGGACATCAATGTTTTTATTGTTCATCAACTGAAAGTGATTCCAATGATATCGTTCCTCAGTGTCGTTATTGTTATAGCCGTGGTGTGGACTTCCCTATTCTCATAGAATTAGAATGAAACTAAGACACCATTGTTTTGCACTGGTCAATTTTGAGATTTTGGGTTATTTTGCTTGCAATCATATCTTCAGACTATCAGAATCAGAAATCTCCACTTCAGTAGCACTTACATACACCAATCCTTCCAGTTTTATTCCTATCTAAGGTTTTTACAAAGGGGTTTTCCTGATTTACATTTTATTCCTAAAAATATGGCAAACTAAATTATTTACACAACTTATTTTTTGGCCATTGAAAGCATTTTTTTAACGGAGATATCCAAATTCCAAATTCTATTCAAATAGAGTTTTCATTTAACTGTGAAAACTGAAAATGAAAGAAGAGTTTTGAAACTGGCTTTATCCATTGTTCAGATTTCTGTTCTGGAAATGTACTGTATGCAAATGAATGCATATTTCATTAGATAATTCCTCATTTTCATATTAAAACATAACACTTGAAGAAAACTTGTAATACAAAACAATTAAAATGTACTGTGATTAAGTATGGTGATATCTATTAGTTCAATTTTGTATTCCACCATACTGTGGAAATGGTGTGAATGGGACTCTACATGGTATTTTAGTTTTAATATTTGGAAACTGAATGCTAACTTCATTTTTCTCTTTAAAGTTCCTCTTTCCCCGAAGACACACTCAGTCAAAACTAGAAGCAGACAACGACCTTGTAGCCCCTTTGAACTGTGTGATAACATCATCAGAAAAAAGCAAAAAAAATCTTTACAACATGAAAGGTTCAAACGATTTCAATTCAGTGTCATTTTGTGCCTGTTGAAGCTATGTGATTATGCTTTAAATAGATATTTGTCTTAAAATCTGGGACTTAATTGTTGTAATACTGTTTAAAAGGCAAAGCATGAACTCTTGCTGATCTAATCTTCATACCAATCAAAGCAGGTCACTGTGATCCCTCCATTTTATTCGGAGTTCTTATTCTAAATAGGCAAGTGAGATCCTGTCTCTGAAGTCATGCTCTCACTTTTCACGAATTACTCAATCACCATGTTGTAAATCTTTCACTGAAATTATACAAAAGCTACATAGTTTGGTTGTACCTGTAGTTGGTCTTGTTTTTCTATAAAATGAACCACAATATTTTTATTGTACCACAATACTGTATTGTTCTAGTGTTTCCAGACATGACTGCAAGTAAGACGCATTATCATGACTGATCTGTTAGTCCCTGGTATTTTGACTAAGAATGCCCTGCCACAGTCAACATTACAGCTCTGCTCCTTTGAGCTGGTTTGAGAAATGGTAACGAATGTAGGTGTGGATTCCTGGGGCCGGATTCACAAAGCATTCAGATCAGCATGAAATAAAAATTCACCCTATTTTCTAAATGCATGTTATAGATTGTGAATGATTTGTCCATGGACTTGATCTTCTGGTGACAAATGCCGGACTTCTTTAAACCCTGCCCCTCCACAATTGACTATTAAGGCCAATTCACGCCTCACAGACAAACAACATCAAACACCAACAGACAAGTCTGTTTGAGTTAGTTGGATCAAGTGCTGGGCGTGCTTAGCAAATTATCCTAAAAATGGATATGTTTTTCTGGACATGTTTGTCTGTTGGGACAGTGTGAACATGACAGTTATTTTTCATAATATTCTAAATCCAACAGCCAACTTGTTTGCTGGTGTTTATTGGTGTTTGTCTGTATGGTGTGAATTGTTCTTTAGAGTGCATTCCCTAACATTTTTTTTCTTTTTTGATAATCCATTGCACTCAAATTGACATCAAAACACAGAAGAAAAGCTCTGTCTGTACTTCTTTTTCATCAAGTTAAATAAAATTAAATACCAGTAAGTAGTACAGATGTTTAATGTACAGATGTAAAGATGTTTAATGAATTTATTTGGTTACGATTATTATTATTAAATTGTTTTGTCAAATTATAAAATAGCCAAATTATAAGCAAATAAATTCTGTTTAATGCGGTCAAACTAACACATTTCATGCGCTTTACATTCAAAAATTACTTACAAGTGTTGACGTATTGATTTTTTTATTGATTTTTAAAGAAGACTTTCATAAATTCAGTCCTTGGTGAACCACCATCAGGAAAATAAGAGAAAGATACACGTATGTTTAATGGTTTGAAGGTTTTCAAACCTTGTACCTCTGTATGTGTTTTAAATCAGAAATAGGACAAGCTCAACAAGGTTTTATCAACATTGGAGACACCGGAGAGACACTCAAGTAACATTTCCAATGCTGTAATATTTAGACTGTCTTTTCTTGTAATGGCATGATGAGAGTGTTAGAAGATCGTAATTAGATAGCATGGTCTTTGAGGTCACTAGAGGAATGTTGAAGCCGTGAGCTCAGAGCATTCTGGGGGCAACTTCAGTGTCTCACTTAAATACACTCCCTAATTTTCCCTTTTTTTTCCCTTTTTGCCTAAAAGTGTTTAGTTGATAGTGGTTCAAAGTTAAAGATGACCACCAACTGCCACAACAAAAGACTGGCAAGAATCTGAGAAAGTAGTGTTACAGTAGACTTTCCCATCTTACCTGCTATTCCCTGAAGCAGGCCACACACATTGAATATGCTCTTCTTCAAGATACTCTGGAAGCACATGCTGAAAACCGAAAGGATGCCCACTACAGATAGGAGAAAGATTGCGATGACTAGAAATATAACAGTGGCTTGCCAGAAGCCACTGGCTATTTCCATGAAGTCTGTAGCGTAGGGCCCACACTGGAGCACCTTCTGCTGTGCCACCTTGATGCAGCGGTTATAAATACCCAGGGTGCGCTGGTCGCTGCGGTGTGAAGCAGTGACGGTGAAGTTGAACTCAGAACCATCTGGATATCCCACTAGCCATTCGGCGCTCATAAATGCCACCATCTCAGCAAATGCCACCACAATGCTCATCAAGGTCCATAACATAGAGCGGCATGTGACTATGACGTGACACATTCTGCAGAACCTGTATGCCAGTACTTGAGAGGAAACGGTTTATTCAAGCAGCAGCTAAGGCACGTCAGTGAAGGTCCATTGGTGTTGTAATCACAGCTGAATCAGCACCAGATCTCTTCAAACAGCACCACAGAAGAACTCCTGAGCTCTAGGACCATCCTGAGACTATCCATGTACTGACACCGAATGATCAAATCTATAAAGAAAAAAAGAGAAACATTTGTTTGAGAAAGTTATAATCAAGGCCATAAATCTAGATTGCTCTGAATTAGCACACTGATGCCTGTACCAGGAACAATCCAATTTAATTTAGCAGTTTTCCCGTTCATAGACCTCTCTGTAAATCCTAGTAACACGGCACAATGTAAAAAATGCTGGGTTAAAAACAGTGTTAGTATATTGTATGAAAACATACAAATGAGATTATACGAATTAGTCACCAGATTGTGAAATAGTTACGAATTGCCATGACATTATGATGGTTTCCTGAACACTCTACTCGTCTGCTATTGGTCAGAAAAACAGGTCAATGTTGAGTCAACACCTTAAAATATAGTTTTACCTAAATAAAGTTTTACTGAATGGAAGAAACCTGTCTTGATTACAGACTGATAGTATTCTTATTTTTTCATTGAGGAGCCAGTTTAGGTTAAGTAAAAATGACCACTGAGGGGTACAGGTTTGAAGAGGCAAGAAATACCTGGAATATTTAATATTAGCATGACAAAGAGATTCATAAAACAAAAAGTTTCAGTCATTTCACCCATCAGAGGATAGTGCTGCAAGCTATACAATACTTTCACCTAGGTCTATGTTATGACAGGTCCTTACTGTAATACCGCAACATTGTCTAAGCAGCAAATGCCTGTTTGTACAGGTATGTAAGGTGGTAAAATAAAGAATTTGAAAAAACAAATTCTACTTCCTAATGCAGTCATAATATAAACACAAGAAAGGCATGACATTTCAGACTAAAAAATTCCTAGTTTAAGTAAACTGAGGTTGAGTACATGATGACAGGTAAGGGTTTTCTTAAAGCCTTCAATGACAGTGCTCTGAAGGCAAGTGATATATGAATTTATTGAATGGATGATTATTATGTCAGGTTAGGGTTAGTCTTTTCTTTTGGTATCAAGCACTGATTTATCATTTAAAACTGAAAAGTCAGGCAATCACAGCACTATGTCAAAGCTTGATGTCCCAGTGAATTTTCAAACATATATATATATACACACAAACACACATAAAGTATGTCCAGTGTATAGAGATTTTTGTTGCTACCAATAAACTTCTCTTTTCAGTCATCAAGAATGATTGTATAATTATTTTGTAAGCTGCCCAACTAGACTGATAGGCTGTTTACCTGAATGGTCAGAATGCTTCAGATCTAAGAAATAAATAAAAGAATGAGCTCACACTTAAATTTAATTACACCACATGATTTCCCCAAAAAAGGAGGCAGCAAACCAAAGAGGAAAGTGCCATGGATTCTTAAGGGGCCTGAAGAATGTCAGAGCCTGTTGCTGTGAGATGAGGACACAAAGGGCTCTCCTGCTGGTGAATTAACATGGTTCTGAAAAGGGATAAAGAGGTTCTCTACTTTTGAATAAAGATGGAACCAGAAAGTCCCTAGACACGGTGACAGACTTTCACTGGTTAATTGGGGTTTCAATGAGTTTCAACTGAAATGTTGCATCCAAAGCAGTTTGAAAGCTGACAAGAAGCATTCATTGAATTCATTCTAAGGAACTGTGGAATGCCTTCCAAGATCGATATTAAAGGGGTCATATGATGCGATTTCAATTTTTCCTTTCTCTTTGGAGTGTTACAAGCTCTTGGTGCATAAAGAAGATCTGTAAAGTTGCAAAGACTAAAGTCTCAAATCCAAAGAAATACTCTTTATAAAAGTTAAGAGTCAGCCACACCTACCTAAAACGGCTCGTTCTAACACACCCCACATACCTACGTCACTATCTGGGAAGAGTTGCATAACGCCGCCCAAATAGTGACGTAGGTATGTGGGGGCGTGTTAGAACGAGCCGTTTTAGGTAGGTGTGGCTTTCAGACCGATGAGCTTTGTAAAAATCGACGCGTTTCAGAAGGCGGGGCATAGAGGAGAAACAATAATGTACAGTATGTGGAAAATAACGTGTTTTTTGAACCTTAAACCGCATAAACACATTTCATTACACCAAATACACCAAATAATGTTCTTTTTAGCAGCATCATATGACCCCTTTAAATATTTCTAAAGGCATCCAAAGGTGCTCAGCAATCAAACAAAACCTCAAAATCACAGGAGTCAAAAATCAAAAGTCCGATCTTATACATCTAATTAGCTCCTGCTTAATCAGTATGGGGTTTTCATTGCCAGATTATCACTTGTCAACTGCTAGTACCATGGTGCATATGCCATGGCATGGTACACCAAAGTACATCAAAGAATAGAATGGTAAATGATCAAACAAAAATTGCCATGTTACTATGCCCAAAAAAACATTAATCTCATGGTGCTTCTTGGTTAATGACATATTTAGCCCCAAAACATGATGTTTCTAGGTACATATCCCAAAACATGGTACTGCTAAAGTGTCATGTTCAAAAAATCATGTTGGTTTACTTTGACCCCTGAAATCTTAAACAGTCTACTGGCTTAATCTCGTTACTTCTAAGAAGAACTATTTTCTCTCATGTCTCCAGACAGACACAGTTACAATCTGTTTACCTATGTTTGCCTTAAAAGAACAAGTTCAAAAAGCAGTTTTATTGATATTTAGGAGATTAAGCAAGGCAGTAAAGGATCACAGCTCTCTTCTCTTGTTCTGTTTCTTTGAATGCTCTAGTAATATAAGTTATCCCACCAAAGCAAGAGAAAATTATCTCTTTTGTTCAGCGTGACTTTCGACGATGTCAAAACCTAGATTCGACACAACTGAATTTAGAAGAACAATTACACGCAGCCCGAGAGGTAAACATAAAATATCTGTATTCCTCTTACCTTAACGGCGGTGAATTAACGGTCTGTTCGCTGATTAACGTTAGTGTTTAACTTCCTGATGTGGCTGAGCGGATCTCTTCTGTTCTGACGCTACACGACACGAGCCAGAAGGGAAGAGCCACAGGAGAAACGTTCAGCTTCACAATCAGAGCTCTGGAATACATGGAAAACATACAATATGGCATCGTTTAGAGACCACGATTCATAGTTCGGTGCTAGTCTCAAAGCAATATCAGGTCTGGCTCACTTCAGATACTTTTCTATTGTTTCTTAACCGCCTCCTTTACTCCAGCCCCTCGGGAAATTACAATGGCTCGGAATACGCCTATACGCCTGATAGTAGTCTAGGTCAGTGTTTCCCAACCTTTTTTTAGTCGCGGCACCCTTTGGAAATTTTAACAAACTTGTGGCACCCTACAAAATTAATTTTGTCACAATATTTGAATTTCTAACTTCGATGTGATAATTTGAAAAGTATAGATATTCGGTACAACAGGGAAGAACTGCAGAATATAATGTCATACAGATATTTTTAATATTATTATAAAATTTGTCCATCAATGGTGGCAATCAGTAGGCTAATTTCTATTGAAGAGACCAATTTATATGACAGATTTTATAGGCTTTTATACATATGTAAACATTATGTAATTACCATTATAACTAGCTATCTCACAATTTTGCTCACTCAGTGTATTTTTAATTTTACAGTGGGGTAATTTTGGTGCAGTAGCATGAGCTAGCTTGATTTCAAACTTTGAATTTAATAAAAAATGACAAGTAAGCAGTCAGTAATAAAATAAGAACAAATAAAGAAATTAATAATGATAGCACAAGTAAAAAATAACGACAGGCCTTCGAATTAAATAAATTGCTTTTTAGTTTTTCATGTAGGTCTAACAGTAGGGTTAAGATATTTAACTTTTTTTTTTTTTACCAATTATCCAAATAATGTTTAGTCCTAGAAAGCTATTATTATCAGAACACATGAGCATAAGGTAGCGGTTAGCAGATCAATGAATGAGAGGGCAGCTTTACCAGAGTTGCCCATATACCACACCATGTTACAACACAGCACGGCTATTGCAGACAGAAACAATACTGTACTACATCGATGTTTCCTGTCGCCTCAATTTTTGACTGGACTTTGCTGTTCCGATTCGCATGAACGGTATAGGAGTGGAGCGACTGAGCGGAGCGCACACGCATAGAGCGGGATAATATGCAGAGCGTCACACCACGTGAAAGTGAAACCTGAGCGGTGACCTACTTTTCGGCAGCCGAAATTTCGGTGCATCTCTAATTATTGGCGACATCAGAAATGGATATTATATAATAGATGCTTTTTTGAACGTTTTAGCTATTTAAAAATATTTAAAAAGGGTTTTTTACACGGCAACCCTGCTCTCCACAGACGGCACCCCGGTTGGGAAACACTGGTCTAGGTAGACAGCTCAGCTCACATTTTCTGTGTTTTGCCCTCTTTTTCTCTTTAAAGATGTTTAAATTTGACTGGAGAATCTGATTAACTTTACCCAATCAGTTCATGGAAGAGACCCTTTATGGGGTGGTGGGACATAGCTGGATGTTTCTTCAAATATGAGTAGTTTTGGCCCTGTGTTTCACACTCACATAAAATTTTTAACTTGTTCACAATGTTCAACATTGTATATTCATCACCAGAGAACTCTGTCATTTATGTTTTTTCTTCTGTCATGAACATTTCTACCTCAGTGTCATATGCACCACTTCAAGTTATATAGCATTCTGTGGAGGAAAAAATATTTTAAACCTTTTTTTTTTTCAGAATAAAAAGGTTTACCATCTATGGGTTGCTAATTCGTAGCTAGGATTTGTTTTTTTATCTTAAAGGGATAGTTCACCCAAAAATGAAAATTCTGTCATTAATTGCTCACCCTCATGTCGTTCCAAACCCGTAAGACCTTCGTTCATCAGAACACAAATTAAGATATTATTGATGAAATCCGAGAGTTTTCTGACCCTGCATGGACAGCAACGCCACTACCACATTCAAGGCCCAGAAAGGTAGTAAGGACATCGTTAAAATAGTCCATGTGACATCAGTGGTTCAACCGTAATTGTATGAAGCTACGAGAATACTTTTGTGCGCAAAGAAAACAAAAATAACGACTTTATTCAACAATTTCTTCTCTTCCGTGTCAGTCTTTGCCACGTGTTCACGAGAGTACCACGGCACATGCGTGTGGTCGGTGCTGCTGACGCAGGAGCCCGCGTTCTGATGTAGAACCTGGATGCGCTGTGGCTTTTCAAGCAGAGGAATGCACGCATGCGTCGTGGTACTCTCATGAACATGTGGCAAAGACTGACATGGAAGAGAAGAAATTGTTGAATAAAGTCATTATTTTTGTTTTCTCTGCACACAATTGTCGTAGCTTCATAAAATTACGGTTGAACCACTGATGTCACATGGACTATTTTAATGATGTCCTTACTACCTTTCTGGATCTTGAATGTGGTAGTGGCTTTGCTGTCTATGGAGGGTCAGAAAGCTCTCGGATTTCATCAATAATATCTTAATTTGTGTTCTGATGAACGAAGGTCTTACGGGTTTGGAACGACATGAGGGTGAGCAATTAATGACAGAATTTTCATTTTTGGGTGAACTATCCCTTTAAATACATAATTAAATAGTCTTTTCACATTTTTGTACAATTTCACAAAATTACAGCTTGAAAATTACACCAAATAAAAATATTAGGTTAGCCTACTTTGATTTTCTTTGTTTTGTGCATACATCATATCTCATTTTGATGAATGATTTAGGCCCAGCTATATAATTTTCACACAATAAATATTGAAATGGGTTATGTTTATGTTAGTCTTTGCTGACATAACAATAATAGTTTATATAATAATATAATTCATATTTGTATGATGCAATTTCAGTTTAAGACTGAAAAGTCACAAGGGACCATATAAATAGAAGCCTTTGGAAAAGTAGTGAAAATAAATGATGAAGGAATGATACAACACTTCCAGGACAGTTTTAATGTGATCTTCACAAATAAAAAGGTATTATTGTTACTACAAATCAGCCCTTGATTTGTAATATAATAAAGTCCAAAGATGAGGCCTGGCTGCAGATTAGCCATTATACAAATATTACATGAAGATTGCCAGTCTGAAATAGTTTAAATATGAAAATTTTGAGTCCAGGACAATAAAAAGATTCCATATAAGGACATTAAAGTATGAATTAACAGAAGTGTTGTAGTACTTATGTGTCAACTCTAGAGGGCTATATTGTGTCTATTATTGTAAATGAGCGAAGACGACGAGTATGGGATGCAATATTGTGTGTAAAAAAGAATGTTCTATAAATATACAATGTTCTAAATCAAAGTCAAAACAAACTGATGCATTAACAGTAACACTGTGTACTGCTATATTTTGAATCATTAAGTAAAGTTTAAACCATATCTTCTTTAGCATGTTCAGTATTTGCTGAACGTCACTTTAATCTGTCACTATATATTTTAACCACAATATAAAAGAGAGAGAGAGAGAGAGAGAGAGAGAAAAGTTCGAGAGCTTAGGCCAAGACCGAAAGTTCATGCAAATGCCTGACAAATACCTTGACTGTGTCTCATCCTTACCTAATCTGCCCTGCAGCATTCAGGTCTGTCTTTTTCCAGTCAAATTTTTGGATGTAATCCCGGTGTATAAAAGTTGGGAAATGCTGTACTGACTTGCCAGTGAGTGAAACATCTATATTAACTCAAGGGGGTGAAATACTTTGTATATCCTACAGAAGCTTGACCGAATAAATGATAAAATGTCTTATAATATACCAACCTTTTTATAAATTTTATTGCTCAAATTGTCTAAACTTTAAGTTAACCTTAAGTACAAATATTTATTTTAGCAAATGTATTGTAATTGAAATGAAGTTTTCACTCCACAAAGACAGCCCACTGTTCACTGTAATCCTGTTTCTGTGTATCTGTCCTGGTTTGTTTGGTTCTTAGAAACCAACTGTGACTTTTCTTGGCTGTAACATTTTAAAAGAAGTCTAGATTGAGACGAAGCAGACTGGAGCAGTTTAATCTTCAGGGAAACAGAGGCTAGGAAAGGCCAAAGGCCTCATCAGTGTCCTCAAATTGAGCTGGTTAGACATGGTTAGCTGGTTAGACAACACAACTGCTATATATTTTGTTGTGTTCAAGCCACTTAAATATATGTAAAATTTTAGTTTACTTAATCCATTTGTTTTGGGACATGTATCATTTTTGTTGCATCAACATACATTTTTAGTTCCAGCATGCTTTCAATGCTGGGTGCATGCTGGGTCAAGAGAGTGAATGTTGAAATTAATTATTACATAGTTATTACAACATAGTTATTTGTTGTGTTTTTGAGTGAAGTAAATGACTAGTTAATGTTTAATGTTTAGATATGTTGGACAAGTAAAAGAGTTACGTTTAAAAGATGCTGACGAGTAGAGGCTGAAGTGGCTACGTCACATTTTAAACTACTGTTAATGTATGTTGGTTTGCTTAATTAGAAATAGCTGGTTTAATGCCAGTGAAAAGGAATTTCATATTTGTGCTGTGCTAATTGCAGAAACTCTTTTAAATGTACAACATAAATGAACGTCAAGCACTAACAGATATTTCCATTTACTCAAAAACACAGACTTGAATATAGTTAACTCTACTTAATAAAATAGAGCTGATATAACTAAAAAAAAACACTGATTACGTTAATTTAAAAATGTGTTTGAAATTAAGATAAATTCATTTTGTGCAATCACTTACCTTAAAAAAATTAATAAAAAATATTTTTTAGTGTAGCCCCAACACAAAAGAATGTCATTTTAGCTATGGATGATCTTCCTTGGTTTCCCCAGTGTACTTCATACAGTACTGTAGCCATTATCATTAGAACATCACTGCCTCTGGGGCACAAGCACACAGCTCAACGACATTAATTGTGTTGTAGTACTGCTTCTAACCACAAGATAACGCTCTAACGCAACTGAAGACTCTCTTGTAATATGGTTGTTTAGGGTACTTGCGCCACTCAGCTGTGTTACTGTATCGCATACTGATATGCTGAACGCTTTGTGGACAGTCTAGAAGATAATGGCAATGAAATGGCTTCTTTTGTGAAGCTATCCTTCAAACCTAGAGTAAAAGGATTAAGTTTTTCATCCAGGGGGCCCCAGCACACTTTCAAGGGGGCCTTAAGATTTGAAATAAAACAAAACAAGCATTAAAATAAGCTAAAACGACAAAATATTTTCATTTTATTTATTTTTTAACTCACCCCCTCAGCAAGGAATTTTTTTTTATCTTTGAAGGACTATTGCCATTGTCTTAAAACACCTTGATATATCAGGGAAGCCTAATTTTAAAACATTTATTTCTTGACCTGGAAAAGCCATGTAAATTAATCAAATCACCAAGGACATTTTTATGATGAATATACATTTATGCAAACCTCTTAAATATTTGATTGGGTAGAAATTATAATATATAGTTGAAAAAAAATCATGGGGCCTAAAAATATTGTTGTGGGTTTTTATGATGAATATACATTTATGCAAACCTCTTAAATATTTGATTGGGTAGAAATAATATATAGTTGAAAAAAAATCATGGGGCCTAAAAATATTGTTGTGGACAATGGGCCTTAGAGTCAAAAACGTTGAGAGCCACTGGATTAAGGTTTTTTTCTTCTGCTCCTTTTCTTATGTTCCTCTGATGTTGCTATAGTGTACTTTATACAGGCGTTGGAGAGAAAAAAACAGGAATGTTCTCTTGGGGCCTATACGACAATGGAAGGCCCACTGTGGATCCTCTGCTGCATAGCTTACTCTTTGAGCCCAAATTTTGTTCTGGTCTCTGTGAATTTAAATAACAGCCCTGTCTTAATGCAAATCGCTCTAAGAGGAGAAAATTGATTTTTCTCTTACAGATTGCGGGTCTTAATGTTATAAAACCTCGATGAGTCACGCTGTCATTCTCTCTCTTCATTTCTAAAGAACAGTGTGGCGAGATATCTTTAAATAGTCTTTATTAACATTGGGAAATTTAAAACCCAATTTTCCCACATATAAATACAAGCATACTGACAGTGATCTATGTATCATAATACCCATCAGCAGTAAGGACCTTTTAAATATTACACTTATATTGTTATTGAAAATCGTAAGGAATCGAGTACATAATTGCATTTGGTAAGTCAACAAACAAAGGAAGATCTTCGTCTTCAAGAAAATCCTGAAAAATGTATAGATACGGGTTATTATAAGGCCAATACGATCCAAAAGCATTACACTGGTCATTGGAGAAATCCAGAGTTTACCTATGACAGGCCATAAATTGATCCTGTTCATCGACTGTTTGAGTACCTGACGGATGCATTGAGGTGGCTTGCACTAATCTGGCATACAGACGCTCACACTAATATTGCTCAGTGTATATTACAGGCCTAAAGCATATGCCACATCTACGTCTCAAAGTCTGTTAAATGTCAAGAGATTTTTAGGTCAGTGGTTGAGTATCCTGAAACTCTGACTGATTGAACTTTGAGGCAGTTTCCATGAAGGGAAAGAGGCAAGCCAATAACATTTGGCTACAACATATGGCTCTGAATATCTAGTCTTAAAATACGACTGAAGATCCAGTCAGTGTAATTCATGTAGTGTCCTCAGCAGCATAAGAAACGTCTATTAACGCCAACAGCCAGGCACACGAAACCAGCACCTTTAAAAAGTAGGAGCCTATATGCAGCCATGTTCTTTGCAGGCTGCTTATTTCAGGGGAAAATTCAAGGAAACATCGATAAAAGTACAGGTGGGTTGTTGACAATAAAATTCGGTAGGTTGCAATGGCACTGAACAGAATGAACCCACCTCAAAAATACAAAATCAAGTGCAAACAAAGGTTAATCATTCCGTGTAAGTGAGTGAAAGAGAGTCCTACAGTTGAGGTGTTGCTCGAAAGTACATCAGACTCTCTCGGCCTGAATCGGATGCTGTGTATTTCGTAAAAAGTGGCATCAAAGTCATGTTTTGAGGCGAGAGGTGGAGGAGTCTAGCTGTCCTCTATGAGCTTAGCTAGGTTGTCTCTCAGCTCTGTCAGCTCGAAGATCTTTCCATCCAGAATCTCCAGCAGGGTTTTGAGGTTCTTGCGAAGGTTCTCCTGGTCCACTTGACTTGACTCCAGACGTTGCTCCAGATCAGCCAACTGTTCCTCAAACTCCTTATTCCGCAAGTCTGTCTCCTGTAACACACACCATGTCTCTTCATTCTTTTATGCTTACCAAGGCTGCATTCATTTTGTGAAATATTATTACAATTTAAAATAACTGATTTCTATTGTAATATATTTTAAAATGTAATTTATTCTTGTGATGGCAAAGCTGTATTTTCAGCAGCCATTACTCCAGTCTTCAGTGTCACATGATCCTTCAGAAATCAATCAAATATGCTAATTTCAAGAAACATTTATTATTATCAATGCTGAAAACAGTTGTGCTGCTTAATATTTTTGTGGAAACCGTGATACATTTTTTTCAGGATTATTTGATGAATAGAAAAAAAAACAGCAATTTGAAACAGAAATCTTTTGTAACATTATAAATGTCTTTACTTTTGATGAATTTAAATTTTTCTTGCTGAATAAAAATATTAATTTCGTTCAAAATACACACTGACCCCAAACTTTTATATATATATATGTAAATTTTTTAGGACAGTCCGTACCTCTAACTTTTTGGTGAGTTCATCTTTCTGAGTTTGAAGCTGCTTTGCATTTTCTACTTCTTCTTTCAATCGCACCATTTCCTATGAAGAACACACAGGAAAGATGTTTTAAATAGCAGAGAAGAATCTAGCAGAGCTAATAAAACTTAGAATGAATGAATGCATTATATTATGACCATACATAATAACAACAACAAGTACCTCTTCTTTTGCCTTTAATGTGCACTCCAGCTCCTCTATTGTTTGGTTCAGCTCCGTTTTCTGGGATTTGATCACATTGGTTTGACTACTCTGGCTTTCCAATTCTGAAACCTGCAGACAGAAGAAGAAAAAAACGTTGTTGCTTGTCACAAATTTAGTTACAAAGATCTAAACTTAAGGGGCATTAACATTGAAAGTGACTTGGCAAAGTCTTTTTCTTTCTATGACAGTTGGTAAAGCCATGGAAAAAAAGTTCAGCCTTGTTTAAGTTAACTTTATGTGACAAAAACAGACAAAACAGCAACAGTAATGACCAATGAAAATACAGACACTAAATTAAACCATGGTGAGTGTGAACACTCCATCAACCTTGTAATAAGCCAACAGTTTTAGCTATAGTTTAAGACTAGACTAGATCTACTGAACCCCAGGATAGTATGTTCATGATATGGAGCTACAAATGGTAAAGGTCAACCCTCCCCTCCTCACCCGTTTGTGTAGCCTTTCAGCCTCCTCCTGATAAGCTGCTAGTTGCTGTTTCCATTGTTTGACGTTGGCTGTGGACTCCAGCAGAGCAGCTGTGAGCTTGGCATTGTTGCTCTTTAGTGTTGCAAGCTCTGCTTCCCAGTGTTTGTTGGTTGTCGGGCTGTAGAACAAAAATAAAAAATAACATTAAAAACAAACTTGAATGATTTATATCCTATTGTTAATGTCCATTTTAGACTGGGGATTCAATCTATAGACTAGGGGTTATCAGAGTAACTTAGTACCCTATAAGTATCCCAACATTCCACTGTGAGGGAGCTTCTTACTAAAATATAAAGGCAGCTACATATTTTCATGTATAAAGGCTTAAAGGGATAGTTCACCTAAAAAAGAAAACTCTGTCATTAATCACCCTCATGTCGTTCCAAACCTGTAAAACCTTCGTTCATCTTCAGAACACAAATTAAGATATTTTTGATGAAATCCGAATCTCTGCCGTGCATTCACGAGAGTACCACGACGCATGCATGTGGTGCTGCTGACGTAGGAGCCGGCGTTCTGACGTAGAACCCTGATGTGCTGCGGCTTGTTTACAAGCAGAGTAAGACTCACGCTGTACATAATGCATGCGTCGTAGTACTGTTGTGAACGTGCGTTGAAGACTGACAATTGATGAATAAAGTCATTATTTTTGTTTTTTTGCACACAAAAAGTATTCTCGTAGCTTGATAAAATTACGATTGAACCACTGATGTCACATGGACTATTTTAATGATGTCCTTACTAACTTTCTGGGAGTTGAATGTGGTAGTGGCGTTGCTGTCTATGCAGGGTCAGAAAGCTCTCGAATTTCATCCAAAATATATTAATTTGTGTTCCAAAGATGAACGAAGGTCTTACGGGTTTTGAAACGGTGAGTAATTAATGACAGAATTTTCATTTTTTGGGTGAACTATCCCTTTAAATATTGCAGTGATCCTCAAATCTGGCTCGCAGGATCCACGTTCCTGCAGAGTTTAGCGCTACCCTAATCAATCACACCTGAGTTTGCTAATCAATGTCTTCAGGATCATTAGAAAATCACAGGTAGGTTTGTTTGATTATAGGGTTGGAGCTAAACTCTGCAGGAAAGTGGATCTCGCGAGCCAGATTTGAGGATCACTGAAATATTGTGTGTAAAAATATTAAGTATGGTATTATAAATGCTGTTTTCTAAAACTGAACAATTGTCTTTTATATTGTAACAGTACTGAAGCCAACACAAATTTTTTAAATATTATCTTGAGAATATTGCTTTGTATTAAGTTGAGTTATAGACTAATATAAGATGCATAAATTTTTTGAAACAAACTAGGGCTGTAAATAGAATAGAATTTAATTGTATTATTTCTGACCAGTTTTTAAAGAGCAGACTTAAACAGTAATTTCATATATCTTAATATCTTGTACTACCATTCAAAGTTTTGGGATCAATAAGATTTTTATTTATTTATTTATTTATTGCTTTTATTCAGCAAGGGTGCATTAAATTGATCAAAAGTGAGTTAAGGCATTTATGTTACAAAACTGTTCTTTTGAACTTTCTTTTAAAAAGAAACAAAGAACTGAAGAAAAACTTCTTTCAACATTAAAAAATAATAAGAAATGTTTCTTGATCATCAAATCAGCTTATTAGAATGATTTGTGAAGGATCATCATGTGATACACTGAAGACTGGAGTAATGATGCTGAAAATTCAGCTTTGCCATAATTTTTCATCAAATAAGTGTTGCCTTGGTGAGCACGAGAGACTTCTTTCATACATTTAAAGATCTCATCAATCCCAAATGTTTGAACAGTATATTAAAACATCAACCCAAATGGTCCTCGGACCCCAGTTTAAGACTGTAGACCATAATGAGGACTGTGTGTTGAAATGGACGGCAGTTTAACCGTGACTGTAATTAAAGCTGGATTCGAGTACAAGAGTTTTTTTCATTTGACCTTTCTATATTTTCCAAAGACTTGAAATGCAGTTCAAGAGCAATTAACAAGGATTATTACAAACCCTGTGATCCAAGTTTAATGTCATTTGCATAAATATTACAATAAAAGACTGATGGAATGTGACAAGCTGAAATAGATCAAAGTAGAATGTCACCTAATGATAAAGAGACAGAAAGTCTCAAAGACAAAAGAAAGAAGCTAATTCTTTGGTTATGCAATGACCATCTCTCATCAGCCCATCTGTGTTCTTCATGTAGTGACAAACAAAAGCAAGCATAAATTTACAATGTGTTCTGATCCTCATGCACTGACAAAAAAAAAAAATCAAATGCTGAAACGATGATGCTGTCACAGGGCCAGCGAACACATAACCAATCCACATCTCTAAAACACTATGAGGAATCCCATCCGCTGTCATCCTCTTAACATCTCATCACACATCCCACTCCTCTGCCTCCCACCACGCACTCCACCGCAGCTTAACCACGCAACCTGTGCTCAAGACACGTGTAGAAAACCAGCACAGAGTCCTCAGCATTGTCGCCTACACTACGGAGCGATGCCAATTCCCTTTCATCTCCCCCAGTGCCACCACCTCTGCTGCGGCTGACGTGATCGCCTCCTCCCCGACCCCCGCTCTGCCAGACAACACCTCAACCCACATGCTCTGACTCCTACTGAAGCTGTGACACAACGGGCTGGAGACACACATGGCTATAAAGCGCCGCACACAAGGAGAAGAAATGTTCGTCTGCAAGAGAAAGAGAGGAGAGAAGATGAGAGTGAAGTCTTTCAGCTTCACGCTAAGAGAAACCGGGACTTCAGCCTGGTAAGTCAATATATGTTGTATATTATAGCCTGTTTAAATGTTTGTTCAGTCTTTATTTTTTAATCAAGAATTAAATATAGACTTCTAGATTTAACAGTTGTCATTTTTAAGACAACAAAAAAAAGGAGACACTATAGTCTTGAGGCGAAATTTCGCAAAACAAAATAATTTGTTGAGTGTGACTTTATGGACTTCACTATATAATTGATAGTTTAGTCAACAACCAAAATCACTGTAGATTTAAAAACTCAAATTTAAGGACTGTTAGCCTTGCATGTTATTTCATTCTCAATCTTAAAATTATATTTATGATGTATGTTTATGATGAATACATTGTTTTCATGTAATAAATTATTATAATTTGAATTCAAGTCTTTCAAGCCTCTCATTTCATATATAAAAAGTATTTGGACTTTTACGCTATACTCTAAAACATATCATGCCATTGCATTAGATATGAAATATCAATCCAAGTGACATTATTTTAAAGGGCCATTGTATATAAGCAGGTGCACAGAAGCATATGGCTGTCAGCATTACATAACTACAAAGAACAGCATAGTGTGACTGTCCTTCAAGCCTGCTGAATGTGAATCAATAAACAATCTCCATCTGATCGTTCCTCTATTCAGAGCTCCAACAGCCCAGTAATCAACATGCATATCATTTCAAAGGACTCACAGTGCCGCTCTGTTAAATGTATACATTTTAGGTCCCCAATAAAATGGATTGTTTTCCATACGCCACATAAAGAGCAGTCCTTAATGAAGTTTTAAGACTATTGATTGGCGTACCACACATTTTGGTGTACGTCTCATATTAAGCCCCACTGTAAATGTGATTCACTACACTGTGGCAACTGCCCAACCAGCCCCTCAACACTCACTTTAATGTACTGCACAAGACTGTGGGTGAGAGAATTACTGTTTGAAGAAATGCCTTCAAATCACTCACCATGTAATAAAAGCCAAAGCAGAACAAATACACTCTACAGGCTAATCTATGACCAATATACACATTTATACATATTCATCAAGCCACAGAAACTTGTGTGAAACAGAATTTTTTTAAGTCAGGTCATATTTGAGGGAATGAATAGTATTATTTACTTCAAAATCAGTCTCACTGATGAACTACTTGCTTATTTCATATAATATCAGAGGTATGAATCAGTCTTAGCAAAACTGAAAGGACAGTTTGCTTCACTAAGATCACTTACAAACGTCAACCAGTTTTACAGTAAATTCATTGTTAAAATACAAGTTGGAAAACTTCAGCAAACTGAGAAATTGAAGTGGAATGGCATTTAATGTATTAAATGTTTTCTCAGGTTTACAAATATCAACCTTAGAAACACAACTTGATACAAAAAAAGACCATAAAACAAAGTCACAAAGGATGCAAAGATTCTCCCAAAAAAGTTGCAGGAAAGATCAGAAAACGATTTCTCTACAAAAGATTTCAAAACACAACATCACAAGAGTTCTGCTGACATAAGTATGCATATCCATCTAAAAATAATAACAGATTTTCAGATATTTTTGTTGCATCTACAGTCATTGTTGCATAAGAATGAATTCAGTGAAAACATTGCAGTCATGTCAAACAGCTGTGAAATTCTGCTATCAGTAGGAGCAGACTTGGCAAGTGTTTAGCACGTGTCTGAAAAAAAAAGACAAAAAAGACCATATGAATTTGTTCACAAAAATATGAATTCACATGGACAAAACACAATCCTGTTTAAGGTCACATTGTAAACAAAAAGGTTGTGTTGACTTAGTTGGTTTTCTGACTCATTTTGCAAAAGCCAAACAGATGACGCCGCCTCCATCTTCACAAGTCACATTTGCTCTGGGCTGAAAACATGCTACTGTATTATATAATTATGACTTATCTGGACATATTATTACAGTGAAAAAATATATATAGTTATTGATGCATGCTTCTAAAAAGCATGACAAAAAATCGGACACAACATATAGCTGTCTGGAAGAGAACTGCAGCGTGGGTGGTTGAATGCGGTTTGGTCCACTGTGGATTTGCATCCAATGATCGGTTAGTATTTTTCAAGTGGCAGGTGAGAGTGAAACATTAACCTGAGATTATGTAAGAAATGGTGGGATGCTATTTTTGAACCTGCAGCACTGGATTGCTCAACTAATTAAAATTCAAGCATCTAGAGACTTGGTGAAATGGGCTCTAAACGTTGCCTTTGCAGTCAGTCTGAAAAAGCTGCTGAGTACATACTCGTGTACAAGTGTCTGAATGCTCATACTGTAAATAATTTAAAAGTGGTCGAAAAAGGCGCAATAAACTTGTGACTGTTGTGACACCACTTTCACTTAAAAGTTTAAGTAAAAAGTTCATTAGACTAGGGATGCATTGAACACCCTATATTAAAATTCAAATATTTTGTCTAAATTAAAAAAATCAAACACTAAAATCTAAAACCAATCATTTAAAGGGGTCCTATTATGCTCTTTTACAAAGTCTTGATTTTGTTTTGGGGGTGTACTAGAACAGGCTCTCATACTAGGTTGTTCGAAAAACACATTCTTTTTCACATAATTTACATTATTACAGCACCTCTCTCCCCAGTCTGGCATGAACGGCTCGTATAGTTCCTGTATCAAAAGAAGGCCCGCCTTCTGAAATACGAAATGTGCTGTGATTGGTTAGCTGGGCCAGTGTGTGCTGTGATTGGCAGCACTCGGCGCCTGGTCGGGAAATGT